TTCCCCTTTGATTGTTCTGTCTAGATAACAGATGTATTGCCTAAGTTCCTGTCTGAAAATCTTAGGCTCTGTAACTGCCTGTAACCCATAGCAACTCCCGCGGTCTATAACCGCCTGAGGACAAATCAACCAATCAGCCCATGCCAACTGTAATAGCACGGATAAGCCCTATAAAAAGCAAGATTGCCCCGAGCTTGGGGTCCAGATCTTCAGAGCGCTTGCTCTTCTGGAACCACTGGCATAATAAACCGGAGTTCTCCAACTCTCTTAGTGGTAGTTGGTTTCTTGCCAGTCTGATTTTTGCAACATTTCTGCAACAGGTGTGAGGATTTCTTTTTCCTTTGTAGAGTGTTAAAAGCATTGACAAACGTTTATTACTCAAAATAGTTCTTGCTTTTCTTAGTTAATGGTGTCATCCTGGAATTTCAGTGGTGTCCTACTGCTACAGTTTTCTGACTGTCGTATAGTTTGACGTTGGCAATTTTAATCTTATACCTATAGATAAAAATGGCAAAAATTAGAAATGTAGAATGATTAAAGTTACTAATCATTTCTAAAATGAGCTTGGATACATTTAAACTTTTAAAATATTTTTTTAGTACATCTGATGCTCGAATCACCTCCGAATGTCTACATGACTTCTTTTGTTTCTTGGAGTGTGCAGACTTTGAGTAGAGTTGATTACAATTTCTTTTTCAAATTACATTTATTCTGTAACAGTATATTTATTGGTATGTATTTATTGATATATATTTATTTAAATACATTTATTGACTAGAGTGTTAACATATTACTAAATTATTAAGTGAAATAAATAGACTACAAAATAGTGGAATTTGATATTACATAGATATCTTAGGAGGTGGAATAAGCATTTTATAAGCCTCAAAAGAAAGTTAAAAAAATCAGTTTTTAAACATCTTTCCTTTTGCCTGAATATTGACCAAATAACTTAAAACTGAGTACAATGGAAGTATGTCTCTAATGGAATTTAAATTGTCATTTTTTGAAAAATCAGTGAAAAAATATTTTTAGTAGATATTTTTGCCCCTTGTGACCATGAAACACTCAGGAGGTCCCTGCTTTGGACTGCTGTGGTGGGTTTCCTGCCAGCTTTATCTGTATCTGCAGGTTACACAGCCTTCCGGGCCTCAGTTTTCTTCTGGCTACACCATGAGAGGTTTGGCTTAGCTGATTTCTAAGGTCCCTTTCAATTGCCTGCCTTTAGTGAGCACGGGGTCCTTGGTTCATCTAAATCTGGTTGAATGAAAAATTGGGTTTTTACACAGCTCTTTCTTTCCC